GCCAGCACCCACTGAACAGGAGCCTGGCCCTGGGGTGACCAGCTTCTCCCCCCTGCAGTCACAGGCAGCATGAGGAGGAAGGTCTCCTTGTCAGGGCAGCTTTAGTGCAGGGCTGGAGCCACCCAGAGGGCGGCGTGATACCCCAGAACTAGTGCAGCTCACTGTGCAGCGTCTAAGGAAGTGAGGACGGAGCTGAAGGTCACTCCAGACCCTGGGGCTGGGGCTCCCACTTCACAGACTCGGAAGCCAGGGCCTGGGAGAGTGAACTGCTGTGTCCTGGATAACGTGGCACAGTCCACATTAATTTGTTCGGGATCAGCCTCAGCCTTCTTGGAAGAGCCCAAGGCAGCCTCTGGAGTCCATCTTTAGACAGCAGGATTGGTTCAAGCCTCAGCACAGCTGACCTTCAACATAAAGGCCTGCTTTCCAATGCCCACTGGAAGAAAACATCCCCAACCTTCTGTACACATATCCACCTTGTATGGGAAGTAGAACTGGCTTTATTTTGTTTTAGGTCCCCCCCCCTTCTTCATAACATTCTGTATTATCTACATTCAATAAGGGGCAGTTATTCTTTATAAAGACAAAAAAAAAAAAACCCACAAGGTTTCACTTCATCTCTCCCATACAAATATCTCAAACAACCCTGAGATTAGACAGAGGAGATAAAGCAGTCAGCATGCAAATCCTAAGAGAAAGGAAAGTGCAGATCAGCAGGATCTCCCCCACACCCTACATAGGTGTAAGTGAGTGCATTTCCCACACAGGCCAGAAGAGGGTACCTGATCCCCCAGAACTAGAGTTCTAGGTGTCTATGAGCTACCCAACATGGGTGCTGTAAACCAAATGTAGGTCCTCTGCAAGAACAGCAAACACTCTTAACCCAAGGCGACATATCTCTCAACCCCTAGAGGCAGGTTTTAAATAAATTTAAAACAAGTGATTTTCTTTCAGACAAAATAGAAATAAAAAGCTTTTATTTAAAAAATTAAACTTACTCATTTCTGTATGTTATTTGAGGCCCTTCACAATTTGATCAACACCTCATGCGCAGCTGCCCATGCTCCCCGTTTGCCCTTCACACCCACCCTGCAACCCGATTACAGGAGCAGAGAAGTCCACAAGCCTGCCGGGGTTACCCAGTCCTCATCCTTAAAGGACCTGGGTAACTTTCAGAACCAGGCTGCATCATCCTTCCCGTGATAGCTTCCTGCCTGCCACAGGAACCAGCTGCTCCCTTCTCTGATCTCCAGGGTTTGCCCTGTCCTGTGGGCTGAATGTCCGTGGCTCCCTAGGATTCAGCTTAGTTCACAATGTGATGTAACTCAGAGGCAAGGCCTTTGGAGGTAGTTAGGTCTCAAAGGTAGAGTGTCACAAATGAACTTAATGTCCCTATAAAAGAGATCTCAGAGAGCTACTGCACCCCTTACACCACATAAGGGCACAGTATGAAGATAGCTGCCCATGAACTGGGAGGCCAGCCCTTACCAGATATCACATCTGCAGGTCCCTCCTCTTGCACTTCCCGTTTCCAGAAAGTGAAAATGCATGTTTGTTAGGGTCACCACCCAGGCAATTTATTAGAGCGACTTGAACTGATGAGGACACCATCCAGAGTTTTCTGTTAAGTCTGACATCACTCTAGAGTCTAATTAATTTCATGCCCCTACAGTCTTCTATTCCAGACATCTAGCACCAGGCATTTTGTGGCATAAGGCAAACATGATGGCAATAATAATAATAATAATAATAATAATAATATTGTTTGAGTGTGTTGTGTTTGTGTGTGTGTGTGCGTGTGTGTGCATGTGTGTTTTCAGTACTTGCTCATATAGCTTCTATTTTGGACTTTCTAATAGGCAGCCTAGGTGGGCAATGGAATGATCAGATATAAGTGCAGGGTGGACAGTGTTTGAGGTTCCTGCAACTCTGCTCTTTGGTTTAGCTTCAAAGACCTGGCCAGGCTCTCTGCCTTGTTTTCAGCTAGACCAGGCTGTTCTGATCCCTGGCCCCTGTGCTCTGCATGCCTCCCCAGCTCAGCCCTCAGCTCCTCTCCAGCCAGGCAGGAGAGCATCAGGCTCAGTGATGCTTTCCAGCTGGTACGCAGCTCACAGTCTCTTTGCTAGTGCCTGCTGCAGGGCCCAGGATGATCCTTCAAGCTTCCTGGAGGAAAACTCTGTCACCAGACTTAGGCTGGACCCAACCAGGCAGTCATGCACAGCATTGTCACTGTGAGAGGGTACAGATCAAAGACACACAAAATGCTAGAGCCAGAAAAAACTTCCATGATGCACTGCATCAGCCACACTCCAGCAAGCCTGGAAAACAAGAGCGCAGACTGGGAAGGGACTTGTCAGAAACTCAGGGTGAGATGGTGGCAAAGTGACAGCTGCCCCCTGAATCTGAGAAGAGACAATTGCATGGGATGACACCATAAGGGAGTCACAGAACTCCACGCATTTGCAGGACATTCTTCAGTGGCAGAAATGATACAATTTCCAAATGCAGCATCAAATGGAAAGAATGTGGAATAAAATAAAGAGCAAAGTCAGGGCTAGGGATACAGACTAGTAAGTAAAGTGTTTGCCCCACAAGCATTAGGACCTGAGTTCAAATCCCCAGGACCCACATTTAAGCCCACAAGGCAGCTGTGCTTGTAATCCCAGTGCTGAGGAGGCAGAGACAGGAGGATCCCCTAGAGCTCTCTGGCTGGTTAGGCTAGCTGAATGACTGAGCTCCAGGTTCAATGCAAGACTCTGTCTCACAAAAATAAGTGGGAGAACAATTGAGGAAGGCACCTGACATTAATCCCTGGCCCCCACCGGCATGTGAAATGTGTGTGCACACATTTGCATACACATGTGCAAATACACAGAACAAATAGAAAACAGAGGAAGGTTCCAACAGCAATATTTGTGTTTAGTCCCTCAGGAGGCCAGGCCACATCCTCACACATTCCTTTACATGACTCTCCCTAAGAGGTGGGCACATGGGATCTGAGTCCATGCCGATTTCCACGCTGGCTTAGCAGAAAGTGCTGAAATGGGAATACCATGGAAGGCCACAGTGGATGCTTCCTTTCATCCCCAGATAAAATTATTCACAGTTGTTTGTGCTGGTTATTGGTGCTTAGTCAGATACCCTTGGTCCAGGCACGTAGCTGATGGAACTTCCTGACTATTTGTATCTGAGTCCAGACATATCACTAACCCTGCCCCATAAACTGAGTAAAAATTGGAAATTGTGATGGTTAATGTTGTGTGTCAGTCTGGTTATACATGGGGCCAGATCTGGGTCAAACACCAGTCCAGATGTTGCTGAGGGGACTTTTACATAGGATTAGCATTCTAGTCTGCAGACTTGGAATAAAGCAGGTTACCCTCCATGGTGCCTGTAGATCTTTCTGAGTAGCGAAAAGACTTGGGCAAGGAGAAGGAGAGACGGCTCAGGTTTGGAATGCACGCTGTTCATTCAGAGGACCTGAGTTTGGTTCCCAGCACCCAGGTCAGGCAGCTCACAACTACTCCAGGTCCAGGCTATCCAATGCCTTCTTTTAGCTTCCACAGACAATCTTACACACACACACACACACATACACACACACACACAATTTTAAAACAAACACAAATTTTTAGAAGACTTAGAGGGAAAAGGCTAAGGTCTACATCCAAACTACCTTCATACATGAGCTTCAACATGGGCCCAGCTATGGGTTTCTAGTCTGCTGCCATTGTGTAGGCTGATTCCATTAAGTAAATCTAGGCAGATGGGTCAACAGCAGATTCTATTGCTCCCACTCTTCAGGAGAAGCCTGACTAACACAACAGTCCTCAGAGACATAGAGATTTTTTAATTGAAATGAAAATGAAAATGAAAAGTGTCTGTTCACTTTTCTCTCCTGGGCACTTAGCACCAAACATACTTGTAGATCAGGGCAGCATATTATACATCTGTGATCTTACAGTACCTGGTCACACATCACAGCAGGTATCCTGACAGGGAGTCAGAAGTGTCAAAAGATATAGGGTGTCTGCTGTCTCTGGGTCACTCCTGACTTCCAAGAGCAGCCTCCATGTTGGGTGGAGGTACTCCCACAGCCTCCGTGTTGGGTGGATGTACTCCCACGGCCTCCGTGTTGGGTGGAGGTACTCCCACGGCCTCCGTGTTGGGTGGATGTACTCCCACGGCCTCCGTGTTGGGTGGATGTACTCCCACAGCCTCCGTGTTGGGTGGATGTACTCCCACGGCCTCCGTGTTGGGTGGATGTACTTTTCACAAGACTCCACACTCAAGCCCTCTGCAGACAGTCGGCACTGTGTCCAGGAAACATAGCATTTGAGAACCTTGTACCTCTGCCCTTTAGAGGTTGGGTTTGCCCAAATGGTCTTGAAGGCTAGCCAGGCTTCCCTGGTCTCCATTTATAGGTAGGTCAGGCCAGGCTGTCATTTCCTTGGGCACATCCATTATCCACTTTTAAAGGGACTCCTGTTTAAGCAACCTTGGTTCCTAAGTGGGTTAACCTGACCAGAGCCCTGTTGTCAATCCACAGAAGACACGTAGTAGGAGTGAGAAATAGATGTCTGTTCCTTAGAGTCAATGGGATGTGGGGATAGTGTGCTACCAAGCACAACCAACCTTACACT